GGAAACCTCGGGTTCGCCACGGGAGCTCTACGCTTCTCAGATGTGGCGCTGTGATCGCGCCTGGAAAATCCGCCTATCTTCCGTCTTTGTAGCGTGGCTAATGCGCCGTGTGACCGCAGCCTTAGTTATGCAATGCTTACTTCTGAGTTGGACCACTTAGGATTGCTCCTTTTTGGCTTATAAAGCATGCACTCTGCCGCCGGGCTTCAGCCAGTCTCTGTAGGCCAGAGTAAGTGTTCAGATTTTTCTGAAGACCTTAGTCTGAGGTTAAGTTCATAAATGGCTCCTGAGCATCCCCACAGAAACAAAAGCACAGAGAAATCCAATGTTAGGTGTACTTTGGTTCTGTAACTGGTAACCCTCTCCTTTGTTTCCCTCTATGCCTGGTGGATCTTTTAAATTAAAAAAAAATTGAATTCATATTCACATTTTTTATCCCCCCCCCACACCCTCCATTTCAGCTCATGGGAAATCTGCCTTGGATTCAGCGTTCTTTATGTTTGCTTTGTTGCTCTGTTTTTAGGCACCTCTTAGGTGTGCGTGCTTCTGCTCTTACTTTTGTCATTTACCTGGGGAATGACGGGCAGGGGTTCTTTTAAACAGTCTAGTTTCATTTCTTTTGTTTACATATTTGTGCCTTCCTTTTTTGGTCACTGGAGACTCCAAGCAGCTCATGAAGTTAGACAGGAACAACAAAGTGCGTAGTACAACTCCACTTCCTGGGCTGGTCCTAAATCCACTGGGCTGGCTCACTCAGGCTAAAAGCCATTGGTTAAATGCCAAGGGCCATAAACCCTTTGGTTCTAGCCCTTAGCCCTTTGACTCATGCTTCTGGCCCTGCCCTGGCTTAAATACCTGTAACAGGAAGGAAAGTGGAAGCCCAGTGCAGATCTTGTTCCCCTGACAGACAGTTTCCCCCCAGATTCTCCTTTCCTGTTGCAACATGGCCACAATATTTTAGATTGAGTTACTCAGGGTTTAGGAATGGATTTGGATCTCTATTGCATGGTTGAGCTGTGTCAGCCCAGGCCATTGGGTTGAAGGCTGGGCTACAAATTACAATGATTATCTCTGTCAGACCCTGGTCCAATTATACTCAGTAACTCTCTCTTGGCAGTGATTAGTTTATTGAGGTATATGCAAGATCCAGAAAGTCACTGTGTCAGAACTAAAGACTTTTGGTAGGCACAAGCTTAATATAGTAGATTCAAAGAAAAGCCCCTTCCCCAAGCACACGTCACATTCATACCATGCCTAGCGTTGCCATCCCAACCAAGTGAAAGATATATGGAGGAGGAGGAGGAGGAGATTGGATTTATACCCTGCCCTTCACTACTCAAGGGAGTCACAGAGTGGCTTACAAACTCCGTTCCCTTCCCCTCCCCACAACAGACACCCTGTGAGGTAGGCGGGGCTGAGAGAGCTCTGACAGAAAATGCTCTTTGTCAAGAACAGCTGTGCCAGAACTATGGTTTGCCAAGGTCATCCAGCGGGTGCAAGTGGAGGAGTGGGGAATCAAACCCGGTTTTCACAGATTAGAGTCCGCACACTTAACCACTACACCAAAGTGTGGCAAGGTTTGACAATCTCTTTCTGTGATTTTGCATGAGGTGCCACTATCTTCAGAAGCCTCCCTCCCTTCGAGGACTTTGACTGAACAACTTTCCTTTAACAATACCAAAGTTTTATATACCTGTAACTGCTGACATTCATACCTTGCCACCCTAAACCCTCATTCAGCTGTTCTTTTCCCCATTAAAGAGTTTAGGTTATAATCTCTTTAGGGATATGGGATATCTATGGTTTGGATGTACGATGTCCAACTCTGGACTGGAAGATTCCTGAACTCAGGAAGGGCAGAGAGTTTGGGGAAGGGAAGGAGTGCAGTGGGGGTGTGATGGCACAGAGCCTGCCTTCTGAAGGTACCGTTTCCTTCAGGGGACCTGATCTCTGCAGTCTGGAGATCAGCTGCAATTCCAGGAGAACTCCAAACCCTACCTGGAGGTTGGCAACTAAAAAAAAAGGTAAAGGTTTCCCTTGCTCAAGAGCTAGTCGAATCTGACTCTAGGGGGCGGTGCTCATCTCCGTTTCCAAGCCAAAGAGTCAGCGCTGTCCGAAGATATTTCCGTGGTCATGTGGCCGGCATGACTAAATGCCGAGGTGC